TACATGTATATATATATATTGACGAATAACCCGTTTTAAGTAAGGGTAAACGGTTACTCCCCAATATTTACGTCAAACCACTTCAGATAATGAGATAATGAAGGCATGTACAATGTACAGCTTTGCTTGCAGATCTGTCACAAAGAAGGGTCACTGATGTCTAAATATGTCAGCCAACACTACGCGTCACGACCGTCAGCCAACGACTACGCTTTGGGTATTCTATAGAGGTATTTCTCCCGTAAGTGTCAGTATTCATCGTAGCATCTGGAATACCTTCCTTTCTTTCAGTATTTACCTTCCTGGCTTTCTCACGTTAGTGTATGTATCTATACACATTATATTTGTGAAAGTTCGTCACTTTGGCTGCCTAAAACTTCGGAACCGCTTAACTTTCGAATTTGAAAAAAATTAACGGTGGTTCAGAATCATTTAAAGGGTGCACAGTTTTACTGAGGAGCCTGAAGTCACTGTAGTTTAATTTTCAGTTTTTCATTAGTTTCGTTTAGATCTAATCTAGCGGAAGTTCGTCTTCTAAGACGCCATTGTAAACCAGTGAGGCTTCCGTTCACAAAGAGTGTGAGCACTGATCCCACAATGACTTGACGATAGATTCTTTTGAGTCCGTTCATCGAACAGGACACCCAGCTAGTTCATAACAGTTGGAAAACTTTTCTTTCTGTATATTTACGTATTTTCATAGTAGTTAAAGTACCTTCCTTTCTTTCGGTATTTATGTACATGTATTCTCAATTAAGTGTCTCTTTCAGTATTCATAGTAGCTAGAATACGTCCCTTTTTCGGTATTTACGTACATGCTTTTCTCACGTACTTGTCAGTATTCATAGTGCCTAAAATACGTCTCTTTCTTTCAGTATTTGCGTAAATGTATTTCTCACGTACGCATCAGTATTCATAGTAACTTGAATACCTTTCTTTCTCAAGGTATTTAAGTACAGGTACTTCTCACACATACGTGTCAGTATTCTCAGAGCCTAGAATACGTCTCTTTCTTTCAGTATTTACCTAAACGTATTTCTCACATAGGTGTCAGTATTCATAGTAGCTGGAATACGTCCCTTTCGGCTTCTCTCCGGTCCTTCTACTCTGCTTACTGCGCACGCTCTCCGTGTCCGAGAAGTCCCGGGTTCGAGTCTTTCTCTCCACATCCGACTCCCCTCTCCCGCCCTTCGACCTGGTGCGTTGGTGGTGTCGGCTGCTGCTGTACTTTGAGCCCTCATCAGACGAGGCGCCGCTCTGTTTTTTCCTGCGACCGTCCGCTTCCGATAGTCTGTCTTTCGACGCGGATCGGTCTTTGGAAGCCGCTCGTTTCTTCTTGCCGCTGGAGTTCCGAGACAAGGAGGGGTGTTTGTTGCCGCCCTCTTTGTGGCGGGCGCGGGTTCGACTCCTCTCTGACCCGGCATCGTCCGATCCCGCGAGACTGTCCGAGCGTGACGTGGCTAGATCACGTGACCGACTACGCTTGGTGGAGGAGCGCCGTCTGTTTCTGCTTCTGCTTCTAGAACGTTCATCGTCGGAACTTTCGTACCGTTTCTTCTTCTTCTTTTGCTGCTCCTTCTTCTTCGTATCGAGATCAGCGTCGGAGTATTTTCCCGCGTCGTCTTCCGAATCATAGCTGTCGTCGTCTTTCTTCTTCTTCGTCTTCTTTTTCTTGCTCGAACCGCTTCGAGATCGTGACGTTGTCTTTTTGTCTCCCTTTCCTGCTGACGTAGACCGCGACTTTTTCTTCGTCTTCCGGTCGATGACGTCATCAGAATCTGCGCTCTCCTCCCCTTTTTGACGTCTGGCGGTTCTGCCCTGTTTGGAATCGCTCTCCTCCACATCCGGTCGTGACTTGTTCATAGTTTTGTTTTTGGGCACGTATTCCGGAAGTACAGGATGTCTCACGCTTTTGGACGCTTCATAATCGTCCCCTACCCCCTCCTCCTCTGTTGTCACATCCTCCTCCTCCTCCTCCTCCTCCTCGTTCCTCCTCCTCCCGTCCTGCACTCCCTCATTCCTACCACCACTACCACCACCATCCCCTCTCACATTCCTCTGATAATCCGGATAAGATGAAGGAGAAGAAGATTGCGGGTATCCATTCCTCAACCCGTTCCGGTAGCCTGCATCATCATTATAATTCCTCCGATGGTCGCGATAGTCATTCCTCTCCGAAAAATCCTCTCGATCCGCGAGCCTGTTGATATACACCTCCCCCGCCCCGCTCACTTTAAACACGGGCTCAGGCTCGGCGTTATTATATTTACGCGCGTATTCAGGTTGACCGACGTAAGAATCCACAACAGGTTTCTTCGCAAGGCTGCCACCCTTCCCGCTGTCGTAAGCGTAGTTGGAATCCGGAGGCGGGCGGTTGGTGAGATAGACCCTCGGCTCCGCGGAGCCCCACAATCCTTCCTCGCTCCGGAGTCGGAAGAACTCTAGAAGCTGGCACATGGCGGCCAAGACGGTGACGAGAGTGGCTCCAATGGCGAGGCCGAAGGACCAGGAGAGGAAGTTGTTGTCCGGGTCCTGAAGCCACGTCCGCTCGTTTTCCGCCTTCACTCCGAATAGGATG